GTGGAGGAAATGTCTTTCCTTCACTTCTATCCTTTTATATTGGGTACAATAAACAGTAGTTTTCCCAATTAATATCGTAAAATTACCAATTTTATAGCTGCCCCGCACTCTGCGCCTTTCCGCCGCTTACTTTTACGATGCCTACAAATTGCGGCTTAATGATGCCCCTGCTCCGCCCAGATATATATCCAATCATATGCGACGGAACGATCTCACGTCATCAAACTAGCAAAGGCGCATCTGCTTAAAGTGTACAATCTTTTGTTTATTGTCAACATATTGCACTCGTCAGCTGAAGACTCGAAACATATTCCACAAACATTTTAAGGGCCCCATAAAAACATAACTATGCAAGAAATCAACCAATCAATGGGTTATTTCCACATGTTTTTGGGTGGCGCTGCGTGGGGTGTCAGCCATCTATCTAACTCCGGACTGGTTCATAATGTTTACAGCCTTTGCCTTTCTTTGGGTTTTTTTCATCTTTTTTAATTTTTATTTGCTTCGCATCGTAATTTTTTTTATTGATTGTGATTTTTGTGTTGTGGCTGGCGCTGGGATTTTGCCCAAAACACTTTTTAATTATGTAAAAAAAAAAACATCAACAAATGCTCCTAATTTTACGGCCACAATGAAAGCTGGTAGCGTTTGTTGATTAAAGTGGGAAATCTGGGAGCGACAGCTTCATAAAAAACGAAGCCTTAAACATGGCAGGGGGTAAACAGAGAAATTGATGACGCTTTTGCAGCAAACAAAAGACGCACAGGAAGTTGGCTTACGAAAAAAAAAAATAAAAACGAAAGGCAGCCAAAAATAAACATATATCAATGAAGTTGTCCTGGCTGGCCGTGTGGCCAGGATGCGCTTAAAAAGAAATCCCTTCCGTTTGCCGCTGGCCAAATGAGTTGAACTTCCGCTGCAGCGCGTGGCCGAATTGTCTCTTGCCACGCCCATAGCCCTAATGCAGTTGTCATACTCTAAATAAATATGTTTGTACATAGATATATATATATAGATGTATATATTGTATATATATGTGCATATATCAGTATCTGGCAACAACTATGCTAATCGATGCCATGCCAAACGGGGCAAGAACCAGAGATGGCTATGGGCAGCGGCCTGAGAAGGGGGTTTGGATGGTGGTCTGAAGGGGGCTAAGGAGGGGGGGGGGGGGGTAGCCTGTCTAACCAAGGCGACGCCATTTGCAGTTTCACACTTTTTTGCCATGGCTCGGACCATTTTTTATGGTCAAGCGTGCCAAATTTGTAAAATGCGTCAGCCGACAAGTGTAAAGTAGACTTTGTTGTTGTTGTAAGGCTTGCATAATGCCTTACAACAGCCTAACAGCTAGCTTTTGGCGTCCGTTTGCTCACACCCCTTTAGAAACTTTCCATAATTTGTGCAATAAATCAAATGAATTTCACTCAAAACAATCAAAACTCAAGGCGAGCAGCCAATTATTAACAAATGCCTTAGCCACGGCTAGCAATAGTCACTAAAAATCACAGCAACAACAACAACAACAACAACAGCAACAACAACAAATTAAACATATCAATAAAAGTCGGCACGCAAACAAGCGATTGACACGCAAAAACACATTTAAAATTGATTAGCCAGCGGTCAGCGTCGGCTCCCAATGGAATCCACCTCAACTCGAAACATAGAAGATGTCTAGACGTACAAATGGGCCCCGTGTGACATTTGCCCCTGGGGCCAGCAATATTTTTGGAGGCTTTCCAACTAATCTTCCCTCCCTAGCTCCTCCCTGCCTCGCTGCTGCTGTGTCGCGTGCTATGAACAACAATATAAATGTATATATTGGCCAACAATTTTGAACATTTGTTAAAAGAGAAATAACAAGTATATATTGGTAAAGCATTATTTAGGGCTACGAACGAAGTTCATATACTCTTTATAACAAATTAAGCATCGAATACTAATACTAAGTTTAGGTTGGGGTAACGCTATGATAGCTTCCTGTTGATCCATGCGAGCTTGCCAGACTCCATGCGTTTCTGCAACATATTCCTCGACCCTACCAGAATATCATGCTCATGCCTCAGCTACTAACTACCAAGACTGCAAGCTAAGACTAGTTCTAAATTGAAGTTAAGTTTATTTATTTAACTTTTACTAGCGACTCTTGGGACTTGCTAGACGTCTTCTAAGGAGACGTAGAACTGGAGCAGTCCGAATGCGAAGGTCCCAACTAATCGAACTCTTAGATCTCTGTTTATTAAATTAACCTTATTTTTAATACTTTCCTACGAACTGGAAACTATGTGTTACGTTAAGTTAAATACAAATATGTCATGAGAGAGATTCTGACTTCAAATATACAAGTGGAGGCCCAACAATTGCATTTGGCTAATCATATTTGGTAGCTGACAATTTTTGGTGAAAATAAAATTTAGCGCATCTTTTGTATATGAAAAAATTCAACATTTAGAATATTTTCAGCGAACAAGCGCGCAAATATAAATTAAAATGGGTTTTCAGCCCAAAACTTTAAGTAAAAGTAAAGGAGAAGCTCTTCTTAAATTTCATACATCTGGCAACTGTGCTATAAAAGTCACATTCTCTAATTGCCTAAGCCTACAGACGAGTTATGTTGCCTTGTTTTTAGAGTATTTTAACATGGAAAAGCTGAGTTTGTCTCTAACTGATAAGCAAAATTGTGCGTTGTTCGCCGCGGGCCACAAAATAACAAAAAAAAAAAAATATATATATATATCTTAAATATATATATAGAATGGGCTGTCGTTAGTGGCTGCGTCGGTCGCCTCGGTTGGGTTTCACTCTCGGTTTCTCGGGCAAAGGGGCATAATTATTGGGTCAGCATTGGGGCTACGTGCGTCGTCATAACGGACGCGGCGCAAAACTAATTTCGGAGCCTGTCCCCTCTGCGGGCTATTTCCAGCAAAACGCAGAGCACCTTTTGCTAAAGCTTGAAAGTATTTTATGCTGCTGCTGCTGATGCTGTGGCATCTTTTGATTTATTAGCTTTGATCAATTTGATGGATATTTTTTTGGCAAAGCGATCAATCGATCCAGGCTTAGTACTGGCAGCATGTAAGCTTGTGTATGTGCCTACCTTAAGGGCTTTCCAAAAAATGCTTAAACCAATTTTCACAAAAGCGCGCTTAATTAAACGGAATCTCTGACTGCCTGCTGTCTGCTCCAGCTCCAGCATCAGCTCCAGCTTCAGCTCCAACTCCAACTTCAATGGTGGTCGTCGCCCCAGAGACACGATAAACGCGTACAATTGTTTGCACTTAAGATTTTTACACATGATTCAGTAGCCGGGGCCCCGACTCTGGCACTGCCACAGACATTTACTGGCGATCCATGCGCTTTTGTGTCCTGGCAGTCATGTCTGCATATGTTGCACTGGCACTCAAATCACAGCCACTGCGACTGCGACGGCGACTGCGACTGCAGTCAGTAGCGAGGGGTCCGCTGTTGTTGTTCTATCAGATGCAATATTTGCTAACGAATAAATTGGCATTTCACAAGTTGCCCCTGACAGACGACTGCCAACTGGCTGCCTCCTGGCTGACTCCCTGGCTGACTCCCTGTGTAGCTGCCAGTGGCTGGCCAAACTGGTTGGGCTTGCCTGGTCTGGTTGCATGGCCTCTGCCTCCGCCTCCGCCTCCGCCTCTGCCTCTGTCTCCGTCTCGACCACAGCCTGTCTCTGTTCCTGGGCAGGCAACATGCATTGCAATCATTTTTGTTGAATCTAAAATTGACGCATCGCGGCTATGACTTCGTCATTCTTCTGTTGCAGCAAACTCCGTTGGAGAAGCATCAACTACCGTGTTACGCGGCCGCCTAACCGGGCGGCTGTCCAGGGCTAAAATGGCCAGCGCGTCGCGCATTTTTCGACGACATCTGAATCTGATTAGAGGCCCAGCTCACCGGTAGCGGCAGCGGCAGAGGCTGAGGCAGAGCCAACTCCTCGTCGTCGTTGTCCGAGTTGACGTTGACGTGCAACCTCACAACAGCAACAAAACTAAAACTGAACCGCAGGCAACTGCAATTCAAGGAACAGCCAATCTGCCCCTCAACTTCCATGCTGCACAGTGGCCCGCTCTCGCACTTTTCAAATCGCTCTACGAAAGGGAGGCAGATTTTAAATGAAGCACTTTCTAGATGAAAAGCCCTTAAAATAATCAATAGAATGTTTAGGCACATTCTTTGCATATATTTTGCTATATATTTGTTGAGAAATGAGCTTTGAAAGCACTTGAAAGTATCTTGGAAGGATTTACGAATAATCTAAAAAAAACATACAATTAAAATCATGAAAATCTCAAACAAACCAATAGGATGTCAAGTATATTTAATACATATATTTTACAGATAACTTTCATTAAGGAAGAAGCTTTAAAAGCATTTGAAAGCATTAAGCAGGGATTTATGTACAACGTAAATAAATAAAATAGATGAGAATATAAAGCTTTGTATATAGAAATTTTACTTGAACCCATCAATTGAATATAGATTTATTTTAGTTGAATTTTAAGAAGCTTTTAAAAGCTCTAAGCGAGATTCACAAAGCGAAGATTGAAACTGTTTTTTAAGCGCATGGACTATATACCAGTAAATACTTTTAAAAAATCATAAAAATAAGAAACTTGATGTTTTTTGAAGTTTTTAAAATAAATAAATTAAATTTGGCATGATTACACACTTGTTAAGCTTTAAGCTTTCTTTGAAATGATTTGGTGTTTATGGCATTGGTGCCACTGTGCAACTTGATGCCGTGTGGGGGCTGCAGCGTCTTTTGGCCTGCTGACTTGACTTGTTCGCCTGTTTTACTCGGAACTGCTGCCCCGTTTCGATATGCCCTAAACAATATTTTGTGGCATTTGGTTGCACATAAATTCCATGTCATTGTCATATGTTTCTGCGCCTTGAGAAGCACTTTTCGTATTATTTGTTGTGTATATACACAAAAAAATTGTTTATAAAATCAAAATGCGCGCGTTGCTTTTGTTTGTATTTGGTTTTTGATATTCTCAACTGAGCCACGTTTTACACTTTGCATAAATTGAGCTCAGCTTTGGAGCTACTCCCCCTCTCGCTCTCGCTCTCAATCTCATTCTCGTTCTCGCTGGCTGTGCCGTATCCTGTGCATAATCGTGTCCTTGTACAACAAAAGCAATTGCTACTGTTTGCCGCATCGGCTGCTTAGTCGTGGTCATCATGTGGCATATATCATGTCGTCGAGGCGCAGCAAAGCGCGGCGCGGCAAGCCCAGACACTGCCACGCCCCCGCCTTCTATACTGATGTGTGGTTGCGCCTGCGCGCATTCGATTCGCTGCCAAGTCTCGAGCCGCCTGCCTGAAATTTACATAAAATTATGCAAAATCATGCAATGCGCTTAGTGTCTGTCCTCAAATCCAACCCCGCTCTTGTCTGTGCCTTGTTTGTGCCTGAGTGCGCCCGTTTTATGAATGGAATCGCCGGCGGTTGCATCAACTGTTGCTGCTGCTGCTGCAGGAGATGAGGACGATGAGGCAGCCAGCAGGCCAGCCAGTGAGCCGTGCCTGCAACTTGTTGCCGCTGTTGTACATTAATGAAATTTGTTAGTATCACGACTTTTATGCCTGTTGCCTGCCAAGTTTGCTTTTGTTTGCCAGTTGATTGTTTTTCTTTCATTTTTTTTCCTACCCTCTCCGTATCTTTTCGATTTTCGATTTGTGCATTAAATTAAAATATTTATAATATGAATACTTTGCATAGATTTGCTGCGGCAACTGCCAGACAATAGCCAGATATATAGGTTGCTCTGCAGATCTTGTTAATACGTATTTTACTTAGTATATAAAATATCAAATGGATTTGGATGTCATCTCGTTTTTGGGAGTTTTGCTTTTGAAATGACATAAAATTATTAAGTTATGACGCCTTGAGGCCAATTTATGTACACAAACGTGAATATTTAATGGGAGGTGTGTTCCTTTTGGAAAGCTGTCGATAAGATCTGTTCATAGGCGGTTCTCTCTCAAGATTTCAAGTCCGATGGTAAGATAAGATAGTGAACGCATTCGTTTTGAATTGTATACTTTATAGAATTCCAATATCTTAGAGCTAATTTTTAAATATAAGCTCTTCTTATTTCTATCATGAATTTACACTAGTTTCCGAACGAACTGCTTTGATCTTCAAATGTTAATGTATTTTGTTGAACTAAACGAATTAAAAGAAAACAGCTGAACCGACTACCGAAAATAGGATTTATAAGCTTGTAAGGACGACCTATCCACAAAGTATTAATACCTTTGCCACATACGAGCAGGATGCGTTATCCAGTATATGAAAATCTCACGCTTTTATACCAGCAATAAGGCAAAGGAAAGCAACAATTGAATTGAATTGTCTATTTAAAATGTTAAAAATATATGTTGGGTTCAAAAGCTGGCTGCCAGCATGGCTAATGCCAGAAACTTGGTTCGAATCGTTGAGCGAATCACCGAACTTCTTTTTGAATTTGTCCTTGTTTCTTTTACAAAGTTCTGTTAAGTTTGTTTTGCTATTTAATAATAGCATAACTATAAATTTTCATATAGAGGGGTCTAGCGGATATTGCTAGAGAATTGAATAGGAAAGTGATTCGTTCAATATCAATAGAAATTGCGCTTTCAGTATAGCATACTTTCTAGAGCACGCCTTGATTATGCAAAATAAAACACTAGCAAGGTAGATTACATCAGCGATCGGTGTGAAACAGAAAACGTTAACTATAAATATGTATATGTACCCATTAATATACTGTAGAATTAGAGCTGCAGATGGGGCTCAGCAGCAGCACGCAGATAGAATCTAGTTTGTTTGCTTTACTTTTTTTTCTTTTCGTACAGCTGCAACAATTGCCTCATCTTTCAGACCTTTGCCCCAAGTGGTTGTTGTTGTCACATCTTCGGTGCTGTTCCTTGCAATCGGATCTGCTGCCGTTGCCAACATACAAAAGCCATGTCAATCAAAGTTTTGTCACAACTCCCAGACAGAGGCCGCAGTTGCACTCGCAGTCGCATTGCTCGACGCATTTAATCGCAGTTTTTAACATATCGATCTGCGTTGGGGAGGGAGGGGGCAACTGAGGCCACACTCTGCAACATGAGGCAAAAACTGGCTGGAGAAAAAAAAAAGGAAAACAAAATGAAAGGAAAGAAAATCCCAAACTGGATAACGTTTAGCCAAACGTTGATGCGTATCTGACGCGCTCTGGGGATGGGGATGCGGATTTGATGTGGATATATCTGAGCTTGGGCTGAGTCTTTGGGGTGTTGGATGCTTTTGGTTTAAATGCCGATGACTTTTGGGCTTATCGTTTCACAAACAACAACAACAGCAACAACAACAACAGCAACAACAGCTGCACATGGGAGCATATTTTGCTGCGATCATACGCACAGCCTGCGGCAAAGGGCCCAACGGGGGCAACTTGGAGGCGGGACAGAGCTGGGCTCTATCGTGTAATTTATGACAATATATGCAGCGTTAATGTCGCTGCTCGCTGATCGTTGATCGATGTCTGTCACTCGGGTCGCGCCGTACGGATGCTGACTGCTTATATAAGTGTCAGAGTGCCGCGATTGTTATCAGAGGAGGAGCTGCTGCCCTGCGCCCCGTGTCCCTCGGCCCAGCTCTTCAGGCGGGGATAACGACGACATATTTGGCACCGCCAGCGAGTTGATTCCAAGTTTGATTAACGCCCGGCTGTTGCATTTTAATTGATTTCGGATGCGATTTGCATGATCTAGAGCGACGTTGCCTAAAGAGGCCAATCCAGCGCATGTTTTATGGATGTCAAAACAATTGCTACATATTCTAAGTGCGGATCGTTCATTGCGCAAGTTGTGCCATGATCGTCGCATATAATTTTATATATATGTGTGAGATCTTGATTTATACATTTCCTTCACCTGAAAACAGCCAGTCGAGCCAAAAACAAAAACAAATGCCAAAAAACGTGGAACAAATACTCTGTATGGTCATGCCTCGATCCGGTTGGGATCATACAGCAATTTTAAAGGGTGCCAGCTTCGAGAGAAACTGGGAGAATTTCTCGATGCAAAGCTTTACAAACTTAATTCTTATCATTGTTATTTTTAATTTTATAGTATAACTAGAAATGAAAAATATATGTTTATTTAACTTGATATTCTACCTAGAACAGGGGCAAATGCTCTTTGGCTACTTTTACGTTCTCTGAAATGAAATCAATTTTAATATATGTAAATAGCTGTTATCATATCGATCTGGCTAATCATAGACTATTTTATAGTTGAATACTAATTTATGAATAATTTCTTAAAGCAAGTGCTAATCGCGGTGATCACTGCTGACAATCGCTCTGATCGCCGATCACTTTAGTTTTTTGTTTTGTTTTGTTTTCTGTTCAAGTCGATAGTTTTTTGGCCTTGGGCGTTACAAACATGATAAGTAAGCTATGGATATTTCAGTTGCATCAAGGGTATATAAAATGCTGTTGTTCATATAATTTATGCACTGGCCGTTTTGGCTGGCAGCGCAAATAAGGGCATGTCTGGCCAGTGGCCATCAGCTGCGATTGCAACCAGGACATGCTTGCCATGCATGCAGCAATGCGGCAGCTTTTGGCCTTCAATTAAACGGCAACACACGGCAACACACGGCAGCAACAGCAGCAGCAGCAGCTACGTAAAATACAATAAATAACTGGACGGGCCAGCAAATGAAGAGATATAAACCAAGTCCCACTTCGTCTTTGCCAGCGTACCCACCCTGCGTCTGCGTCTCGCACTTTGTCTGCGTACGCAAAACTTATGAGGAGGCCAGAAGAAAACCGTGGCCAGAAAACGCCCTAAAACGTACACCGATCGCTTTGTTGTTGCTGTTCTGGTTGTTGTTGTTGTTGTTCTGGTTGTTGTTGTGGTTGCTGCGTTTTCGCACGCATCGCCAAACGGTGGCCACTGCCAGGAGGGGGTGTGGCCACGGGGGGCTGGCAGGTGGACGGCGGATCGAGGTGATTGCTGGTGAAAAATTCCATTTGTGACAATGATAAAATAGTTTAACCTCGGCAAAAATCGCGTTTTGAATTTGAAATGCGATTTTTTGTTTTTTTGGCGTTTCGCTTCAAAAATTTATTTTTTTTCTGTGTTGTTGTTGTCGTTTACTGCTGCTGACGCTGGGCCAGACCGAACCCGAGCCCGAATCCGGGCTACTGTTGTTTGGTTTACTTGGTGCCTGCCTTAGCTGCTGGGCATTATTTGGTGACAGTTGCGAGACGTGGTCGTCTCTTGTTGTTGACGTCGTCGCAAAGTCAGCCTCTGCGTCAGCGTCAGCGGCAGCGTCGTCCCTTGTCTGTCAGCCGTTGTTGCTGTTGACATTTGCGGAGGCGTCAATGCGGCCCAGGCGACGCAGGCGACGCAGCCGCTTGGTTAACTAGGGTGCATAAGCTGGGCACAAGGAGCAGCAAGTAGAGCTTAAGATTAAGGTGCTGAACATAGAACAAATATGAGTCAGTTTTTTCAGAAAGAGTTGAGGCTTATACAAAAAAAAAAAACAGTTGAAAAATCGAATGTGAGCAAAATATTGAAGGAAAAGTATTAGCTCAAGGGTATGCTCATTAAATTATTAACAGTTCTTGACAGAACTAAGCTGCACAAGCATATAAACCTTTACCAATTCCATACAAATACAATGATGCATGTTAACTTAACTAACATTTTAGCTAAACAGTATATATATGTTTGTTCTGACTGACATTAGCAAAAGGCATCAAGCTGTTGGGCCGCTTGAAGCCTTAATTCTTTCATTAACTGATTAATTGATTGACTGACTGAATCACAGTAGCTTTCATTTGTGTTGAGAGTCCACGCTGAGGCGAAAATTCTTTCGGCAAATCAGTAGAAAAAAATGAAATTCATCAACCTAAACTTATTTTCGAAAGTTGCAGTTAATAATTAATTAATAATATAAAAATAGAGCAAATGAAAGGCGTTTGCTGTAAGGTCTTCTGAATTAGTTGTTATACCCACTGAAAATGCATAAGAAGGATGTAATGTATTTGACCGACTTCAGAAGTTTTTTATATTCTTGATTAGCAAGTTTGCTTACGATAATCGATTACCAGACGCGTTGCCAAGCAATCGATATATATCAGTATGGGAATCCTGTTGGTTTATAAGAGCTAGACTAATAAAATTTGATTTGCTGATTCCAGAATAGTTTATGTTTATTTAGTTTTATAGCCCGAGTCGCAGTTGGTGTTGTTGGTAGGTTCAGGGTATCTCCTAGTCGGGCACTCCCATCTATACAACTTTTACTTATTCTTATTGTTCCTGGCGGATTTGTGGCCTTAGGGTTTATATCCATATAAATACCCACGTTTAGCTTTTTGTAACAAACGCCACCGCTCGCTCGCCTGTTGCTGCGCGGACTGTCTGTCATTTTGGCAGTGACGCGTCGTCATCGTCGCGGCTGTCATCGTCTGTTTTGCCGCATTAAAACCAGTAGCCACGGCGACAACAGAAGCGGGTAGCGATATCATAAGTTGAAAACATATTTTGACTACGAAATCAGCAGGCGATGCAAAATCTCAGGGTGTGCGTGTGTGCGAGTGTGTGCAATGACAATATAAATAAAATAATTGCCGACATAAATAAATTCAAAACTCTTGTACACAAGACGCAAATAATGCCGCATGTGAGCTAAGCGCGTTGTGCGTGGTACACATTTTATGATTTTTAGTCTTTTTAGCAGCTGTTGTTGTAATTGTTGCTGTTGTTGCTGCTGTTGATGTTGTTGTTGGCGCTATGTGCGCAAATTGTTAATGGCATTTTGCATGTAGAGTCGCGTAGACGCAGCGCTGGGTGCGGGCAAAGGGGCGGACATTAAAGTGCAGCGCTAGCTTTCATTGTCTCCCAAAAAAATATAAAAAAAAAAAAAACAAAAGACTTAAGACACGAACTTGCCAAGCAACTTAAGCGACTGCATTGTCGATGGCGCGTGTTTTGGGACATATTCTATTTTTATAACAATTTAAATTCAGCCAATTGTCAAGGTGTGTTAAACAACAACAACAGCAACAGCAACAGCAACAAGCGCAATGGGGCGAAGCAAGACAACAACAACAAAAATTATGTCTGCATTTTCGCGCCTGTTTTGTGGCAAATTGACAACAATTGCTGCTATTAGTGAGTTATGTGCGTCTGGCTGTGCGTCGATTTATGCCAATGGAATGTCTGTCAAGGGCGTGGACAGTTTGTGCGTCGTTCATCTCAGCTAATCGCTAAACCCTTCAACTGCGCGTAACTTCCGCTTTTTAATTGAGTTCTAAATGCGCGACGCCTTCATCCAGCACCAACAAAACCAAATGATCATAAAAATTGATCAAAAAAAAAAAAAACAGAAAGAAAGAAAAAACAAGCGCAAGATCTGAGCTGAGCGATAGGATGCCACGAAACGTGCACAAGTAGCCGGCAGAGGAAGTTTGAGTTCATGCA